CTACGATTCGTTTCATCCGTTTTCGATGATAAGCCGATTGTAGAATCCAGCTTGAACTTGAATGCCGAAGTGTCGAAGGCGTATTGAATACAGAAAGCAGGAACAGAATGAGGAAAGCAGGCAAGAATGAGATAAGACGTTACGGTCCATCAAGTCATACACATCTTAACACTGCGACAGGATTTCGTTAGTATGACGGCCGCAGTGTTAATGGAAAAGAAAAAGAGAAAGAGAAGGAGACTGAGAAAGACGCAAGGAAGAGAGGGAAAGAATAGATAAAAAAGAAAACAAGATTTAAACCTAGTAGAAAGCGTATCGGCTGCCGGTACGAGGATGCGTTTTTTTGCACAGTTCTCCTGCAGGTTTTTTTTTTTCGCCAGCGGCACTTCCTTCCCGGCAGATGCTTCTAGCTAAAAGAATTGGGACTGGCCACCACGACTGTTAGAAATTATTGCAATGACTGCCAATCCACGCCCAAAAAATCCAGCGCTCTGGATGCCTCGGTTACAGAATTACGTCAATTTTCACGTGCTCGCACGTGAGTGACAACGTGGATGCTTTCATCGCTCGCGGTTGCTCAAATAGGGTCCTGGGTAGCGCTCAGAAAGTTTCAGCACTTCAGCTGTTCTTTCACGTCTGTACACGTGAAACGTATGTGAGACATGAAAGTGATGTGCAGCTTGTTTTTGCGTGTATCTGTGCAGGTCGGTTATGATCAGAAAATCCATGTTCTCTGGCTGGTTCAGTTCTGGAGTTACAAAAGCGCATGCGTGAAATTGTCACGTGTTCGTACGTGAGATGCAGAAGAGCTGATAAGTACTTTACTTTCACAGGCACAACAGCAGGCGACAAGTAAAGCTGCAAAATTGCTACTCTGTGCAGCTTACTGATCGGCTTAAATCTGCAGTTGGCGTGATGCCAGTTCAAACTTTAAAGTGTGCGTACGTAAGACCTGAGGGCGCGTTAAGACCATCGTAGGAGTTGATCTCCACAGTCTACTCCCTGTAGTTTTTCCTGTCACGAATCGGTGTACTCCTCCTTAGGTTAGATCCCATTGAAACCTTTAAACGTCTGACATTTCTAAGTTCGTTTGCATCATCGAGCTTAGCCCCCATAGCCAGCATTTGTCGCAAATCCCACGCATAAGAAGATCAGCCCATTTCTAAATGGCAGCAACACATGCTCAGCACGGCTAGGTTAGAATTGCGCCCTTCCCATCGTTTGCCCTTCCTTCTTCTCCCCGCTCCTTTCTTTTCGACTGAGCAGCGTCCCATTCGAAAGTCGAAATCGCGGGAACTGAATTTAAAGTATTTGGATTAAATGTGAATGTAGAATGTCTCCCCAAAATTTTGGCTTTCCAGCCTTTCTAGCTCTCGAATCAGTGATTTTTCCGCCAAAATTTTGCTCTGTTCCTATGTGAGACCTCGGCGTTAATGAAAACCGTTATATATTTGTTACATTTGGTTATCAGTTATCTTCTAGATCCGATTTGTTCTTATTCCGTGGAACAAGTTCCTAAGACATCACTGTTGGCACTGTACACACACACTTAAGATTTTTTCTTGATCTTTGTGTCTTAGAAAGTTTGACCTCGAATTCTTGTATAATTTAAAGGGGTAATTAAAAATGCAATAGTTTTTGGAAAACTGGATGTAATATCTTTTTCGTCAGCA